TTCAGGCACCCAAGAGTTTAAAAGTTTATTCTCGGTGTGTTTTCTGCTTTTCAAGGGTGAGATCAGTGCAGACGTGTCCCTGTTTGACTTTTTTTTTTTTTTTTTTTTTTTTTCTGCAGCAGATGTTTAGAAAAAATCACTTTCTGCTGGGAGCAAGATGCAACCGGGTCAAGATTTAAGCCTTGGGATTCATTCTGAACCTGGCTGATGTGACGGGACTTTGTATACGCAGAGTCTAATCAAATAGATGAGGGGGAGGAGGAGGAGGAAGGCAGGATTTGCAAAGCAGCCTCACACAAAGATATTGATTAGATTAGGGCAGGGTAACTATATTTCCTTAAAGGGTCAAATAAAAATGTTTAAAGCAACCGAAGGGCAGCTTGGAGAATTGCAAAATTTTTTTTTAAGACACAACATTTTTAAAAAATCTGGCTTTTTCTTGCTGTAGCATAGTTATTAGCATGTTCAATAAAAATGTTCCCCAAATACACTGTAGCAATATAAGACATACTTTCTGTAAAATGGCTCTTGTAACAATATATTGGACTAATAGGGGGAAAGGTTTTATATTTGGGTTTTGGAGTCTTTAAGGTTCAGTCTAGAAACACCAGTTTCAAAAACAGCCTTATTCTAAAGGTTTTTATGTACTGATCCAACACGTTTAATTTAAACTTTATTAAGTTTCATTCATAAATGTTTTCATCAACTTAAAAAATAAAGTTGTTTTCTTTTCAGTTAAGAGTTTTGGGGGCATGATGGAGATTATCCAAGGGCCACTTTTGGCCCTCAGGTTGTACACATGTCTGGATTAGGGGTTTTACAAACAAGAGGAAGCGAGGAAGTGGTCGGTCATGTTGACGTTTCTGCAAACCTCACTCAGGTGACGAATATAGAACAAATATAACTAAACTGAAACGTTTCTTCATCATGTTCATGTCTTCAGTGAATCAGTCCCAATGAAAATACAAGAAAACACCACGGTGATGGAATGTCAACATCAGTAAAACAAGACCTGAGAAATAAACAAATTAAAAATAAAAATGAACAAAAACGTCATCTATGACATGACACGGTGTGATCGCCTTTTCTCTAAAAGAATCAAATGCCAAACTATGAGTCAGTCATTATCTAATTTATGGGCTTTATGTGACCCAGTTCTGCATTAAAAAACACCATCATTTCAGCGTGATTACATAACAAATAAGAACAATACTTTTGTGTTTTTCCTGACCAAATGAAGGTGTTTATAGAGAAAGGCCAAAGATCACTTTGCTGGAAAATAGACAAGGAGCTGTGGAAGCATCTGAACGGCAGCGTACGCCCCCGTGAACACAACACCTACAAGGAAAGCCCTTCTGTATCTCACACGCACATGTGTGGGTGAAAATCTTGCATGATGCTGCAAAGCTCATGAGCCTTGGGATGAGATTCATGCTTCTAGCTTTGCACTGCATCCAAATGTGTTTTTAATCCTTTCCTAAATACAAAAGAGGGATTTTTTTTTTAAATCACATCCTGACAGAACGCTAACATCCATCCGCATGTGTTGCCTCCATCAGCCCACCTTTTAGAAAAAATGACCCCCGGAGGATTTGAATCTGTTCTGAATGAATGAATGAATTAAAGTCGCAGCATTATTTTAATGGATGCATATCACCCGCCCCCTTCAGAGCTTGACAGAGCCTGGAGAATGTAGATTAGCTGTGGCAGTTGTTTTGAACTGGTTTGACTCCAAAAGTTAATCTAAATGTGCATCCAGTGATTACTCTGTAAAGGTTTTATTAAAATCAATAAACACGGTTGACGCCAACAGTTAATGCCAAAGTTATATGCAAAGGTATCACACAATGTGTAGCGCTTTGAATATGTGTAGGGAACAGCAAACATATTTTAGCACCTTATCTGTAAAACTGACAGATAAATTTCTGTGTTTGCTAAGGTCGGTTAGCTGTAGCAACCATTTTGAATTGGGTTGACACCAAAAGTTAATGGGTTTTAAATGTACATATGTTCCAGAATTGCGCTGCTTAAGGTGGCTGCATGTCGGAGTAGCCCTCTTAGATTCATTCTGAGGTTTTGCTTTTGAAAACTGTAATTACTAATTTTTCTGGAAGTAAATTGCTTTTTTCGCATGAGTATTTCTTCTGGTATCAGATGCTGTGCCACTGGAAGGATTTTTACTTAAACCTTTTTTTACTTTTGGACATTAGTTATGATGTGCAACCATAACAACAATGTGGTTTTCTACAACTGGGAGTTGCTGATTAACATCTTAAAAGCTCAAATAAGACCTCAAATACAGCCCCAAATCTCAAATGAGTTGAAAAGGAGGTGCCGTGGATGCATTACCATCTACCTGGAGGTTGTGCTCGAGTGCCTGACCGCTGAGATCTTGGGGGTAGCAGGAAACACGGCCTGTGACAGCAAGAGGACCGAGATCGTCCCCCAGCACCTGGATTTAAGACGAGGGGCTCTGCAGGTTTCTGGGAGAAATGGCTATCACTCGGGGAGGAGTTCTGCTCGACATTCAGGCCGTCCTGCTGTCCAAGAGGACCGAGAGGTCTGCTGGGTCTGGGTGGACGGATCGGCATCTGCAGCCAGTTTCTTCGGATATGCTGTGGGCTGGACTGCTACAAAACATCCTTCCTGCCCACAGCCATTAGCATCTATAACAACTCTAATGAAACCAAGATGAGCTACAACAACAATTAATTTCCTTTTTGGATTAATAAAGTATTTTTAATTGAATTAAATTGAATTGAATAAAATGATTACTTGCTGAAAGTTTCCTTAAAATCCATCCAGTGGTTCATTTGATATTTTGCTAACAGACAGTAGGGGTGCACTGATTGCAGTTTTCTGGCTGATCACTGATCACCGATTTCCAAAAAGTCTGATCTGCCGATTCTGATTTTGGCCGATACCGATTTGGTTTTATAAGCGACACTGTCAGGTGTTATAAAGTCACAATGCACCTTCAATGTTCCAATCTTATTTTATTGAAAAACATACCCTTGAACAATATCCTAGAAACAATACAAACTTGTTTTAACTGGCCATGAGGTAGTGCTCTGAAATATAAATGAAGTTCAAACAATTGTTGTTAAAACTAAAAAAAAAAAAAATGGGTGAAATCGGTTTCTAAAATCTGTTTCAGCCCATCACCGATTAAGCAAAATTAAGGAAATCGGGGCCCAACCCTAACAGATAGAGTTGACTTTAGTACTTAAGGGCACAAACCTGAGCAAAGACAATACCACTGATGGCTGCAGACATGAATGAATGAATGACTGAATATGTGGGAGTCAGAGCTGCGAGTCCTTACAGGGAGGGAGGTGTGGGGGTTAAGGGCTTGCATTGAGGAGGTGGCTGCTGGGAAGCAAAGCTAATTCGCTGTGACAGAAATCAGAGCTGTCAGGACCACCATGACCAAGCAGCACAGGCAGCATGTATCCAGTCCAAACCACAGCCAAGAGGCGACCCAGAAAGAGAAAAGCATGAGTACCAGCAGAAGGTGTGTCTAATCAAAACAATTAGAACAAGAACAAACATAATCATGTAGATGAGTGGGAGGGGTGGGGGGGACCCAGAGTTTCAAATAGTCTGTAGGATAAAGAAGCTTCAGTCATAAAAACATGAGTGCATTTAGAGTAGGAAGTAAATCAGCACTCAGAGTCACACTCTGTAATTTTCTGCCTCCTGAGACCTTGGTGAACAGTAACCGGACTCACATATAAAATTCATGAGGAAACCTCCTGGGTTCGACTAATCTAAGGAAAACACACTAACATTTTAATGGAAGGCAAAACTGATAGAATATTATTTGTAAATGTGGCGAGGGAAAGGAGGAAGAGAGGGAGAGAGTGCGTGAGAGTGAGAGAAGGGCAGCTGCTGGCTTCATTACTTAATGATGAGAGAGGGAGACACAAGGCAGGTTTTTAAATGGCGGGGGGGAAGGAGGAGGAATTGTGGGAGATTAAGTGAGCTCTATGCTGTTTGTAATACACTGCATCGCACCACGGGATGTTTGTCGAGCAGCGCTCTCATTTGGAGTGAAGAGAAAGTCGGCAAGGGGACCTTAAACCTGGCTGCAGGAGAAAGGCAGGAGGTGTTTTATTATCTCCTGAGCGTCGTGGATGGAGGATCCATGCAGGAGATAAGGATTAAGGCTGCAGTGCTGAGCCTGCTTGTTGATGGGACACAACTCTGAAAGAAGAAGAAGAAAGCTGGAAAGTTGGAGAGTCAAGTTATTGCTAAGCTAAGCAGTCTATTTTGGATTTGTGTTCTTGTTTTCATTCTCTTGGAGAGGAGAATGGGATTAACTGAGTGAGCCAAAAAGTTCACTTCCCAGGAAGAGTGAACTTTTTACCCTTCACTTTCATCCACACTTTATGGGTCTGTGGTGGGAAATCTGCTTGAACTGGTCTGTGCGCTACTTCAACTCACCAAGTGGCAACTAAGAGGAAACCTCTTGTAAAGGTGAAACGTTTGCCTCTCTGACATGTAAACCTTACATTTTATGATGTTTTCATGACTCCTTATATGATCCATTGACGATTTAATGATCATTCCTGGAAAATGTCACAGGAGAGCATCAAATTTTTAAACTCTGTCTTCCCAGTTTGTAACTTCTCAGAAATTTTCTGAATCTTGCTGAAATCAGTTTAAGACCCAGAGAAATGAAAGGCTCGTTTTTCACTACCAGAATAAACATCATATTAACAGGCGACAAAATAATGTTTGGAGCCTAAAAATAACTGCCGGGCACAAAATACCTGCTTGATTCCAAATAGCCTCAGGTGATTAGTTTTCATTAAGAAACGATGCATTTTGGGGGAGACATGAATCATCTCTGGCTATTCCCATGAACATCTTCTTATTGCGTTACCTCTGCTGAATGTTCAGAGCTTCAACTGCTTGAGAAAAATAAATCCTGTCCAATTTTTGGCTTGTCTAACCAGGAAGAACCTGGGGGGGGGGGGGGGGATTAGAGAATATAAGCTGTGACATCCAGAATCATGACCCGTGGACCTCATCTGGGACTTTTATTCCTGCTGTTCTGTTCCCTCTGTGGCTCTGAGCAGACCTGCCCACCTTTGTGCCTCTGTTTACCTGACACAATAAGCTGTAGCTCCAGGGGTCTGGCTAAGCTGCCACGCTCGCTGCCCTCCCTCCCCATCACCTTCGACCTCAGCCACAACCACCTCTCCTGGTTGGGTCCGCGCAGCTTCAGCGAGATGCCCAGACTAGAAAACCTCTGGATGGGCCACAATCAAATCCATACCCTGGAATATGACGTCTTTCTCAACGTCTCTAGGCTCAGGCTGCTGGATCTGTCGTCCAACGAGCTCCGTGTGGTGGGGCAGCGCTCCTTCCAGGGGCTGTGGAGGCTGGAGGAGCTCCGTCTCTTCAACAATCGGATCGCCCAAGTGGAGGCCGGAGCGCTGAGCGGCTTGAGCAGCTTAGAAAGGGTCTACTTCAGCCTGAACCGGATCACTCACTTCCCATTCTTCTCCATCCAAGATCACAGCCATCCGTTCCTGGCCGTGCTGGACCTCTCGTCCAACCGACTGTCACGTCTTCCATGGCAGGAGGTGAAAGCGTTGCCCCAGCTGGTGCAGCAGGGTCTGTATCTCCACAACAACTCTCTGATCTGTGACTGCTCCATGTATGCCGTGTTCTGGCACTGGAGTTTGAGGAATTACAGCTCAGTTAAGGATTTCCTTGATGAGCACACCTGCAATATTAATGGGGACCCAAGAGCGTCCATCCGTTTCCTCCGTCCCAACTGTTCCCTTCTCAACTGCACCTTGGACAGAGCAGTCATGCGGCCTGTGATGGCACTCCTCTCCACCGTGGTTGTTTCAGAAGGAGACACAGTGAGTCTAGACTGCCAAACCTCCCTGAGTAGCACAGACATCTCATTTACGTGGCTCTCCCTAAGAAAGGGATTCATCACTCAGAGCAGCATGAACGACACACCATTTAGCACCTTCTCAAACGGGACCTTGGAGATCCGTGCAGCCACGGTCAGTGACTCAGGTCTGTATCGGTGCACAGCTGTGGATGTTAGAAAGGCGCTGAATGCAACTCGTGAGGTGAACGTGACCGTGCTGTCACCTGCAGCGCAACCATTCGACTCCAGTTACACAACACTGCTGGCCTGCGTTGTGACTTTACTTCTCATCCTCTTGTACATTTTCCTGACTCCGTGTCGCTGCAGATGTCCTGCAGCAGCCTACATCCCCAGGATCATATCTGTTTCCTTGTCCTCTGACAGAGATCAACCTAAAGCTGAAACTTAAGGGTGGATAGCGTTCGTGGAGTCTGTGATTATTGAAGAAGGTGAAGAATGGATCCCTGAAAGCTAATGTCAGTCAAAGTTCTTTATTGTTTTGTTTGGTTTGTTATTTTTGAGACGACTTCTGAATGAACAAAAACTGCTTTCTGTGAAGCGGTGAGATGGTATCAAGAGCTAATGCTGCAGAGAGAAAAATAAAGGCAACCTCTTGTTTCTTTTTGAACCACCTGCCACAGCTAAAAGGCATTCAGAACAAAAAAAAAGAAGCAATCTTCTGTTCCAATTCTTTTCTTTTCTGTCTCATGACCAGGTAGTCGATTTAAAACCGTCAACGGTGCTTTATTACCCTCACTGTAGAGCTATTATCAGTCCAAGAAATCAGCTAATAACTTCTTTTTCTAGCCCAGTCACAGGTCTCGGAGGTATGTTTCTTGTGAGATTAGAATGAATGGGGTTCACTTCTCACATAATGTGGATTACAGCTAAAATGCGAATGACTGTGGAGAAGTGAAGCTCAGGGAGGAGAATTTATTGCTGCTGTAGAGCGGATGTGACAGAGATGCATCAGCTGGAGTTTAAATATGTAGGCAGCATCTGTTGGGAAGCGCTCGAGCCTGAAAATCCTCTCGTTTGGCTGATAAAGCATTCGGTTTGAGATGAACACCTACTTTTGTAGTACAGATTGTTTTTATAATTATTATTATTCTCCAAATGTTTCAGTCATGACACTTTCAGCTCACATAAGAAACATCTAATCTATTAAAAATGGAGTGCCCCCCCCCCCCTCCTCCCCTCCCTCCCGCTGTAATCCATCATACATATAGATGTCACTTTTAAACCTGCTGCCGTAATCTGGCAGAGAAAAACAGCCAATCTCTATTTGTACTCAGTTTATCTGGCAAATGGGGAAGTTGAGGAATCAGGAGTGTCAACAAACAAACAAACAAACAGCGCGACTGGGCCGCTCTTCAAAGGCAGCGTCTCTTTGATGAAGCACAGCCGAGGACTCGGAACAAACAGAAGCACAAAATTTGAACCCAAGTGACAAATTTTTCAAGCCGCTCTGACGCAAAGCCACACAAGGGGGCATCACTTTGTAGAGATTTTTCTTCCCCCCCCCGCCATTTCGTTTGTGTTGTTGTGGTTTTTTTCTTCTATAATTCTTCTTAACATGCTTGAAATGACAGAATTACACACCTCAACCACAGAGATGAAAGAAGCCGAGGAGGGACTTGGATGTGCTGTCATGAAGGAACACGTGAGGAGGAGCATTAGGTTTACTTTTCCAACCCAAAGTGAGCGTAGTGGGGGGAGGAAGCATGAACTGATGCAGAAAACAGAGTCTTCAAGGGAAACTCTTTTATTTCTGCAGGTCCAAGCGTTCATAATTTAATGAGATTGCAAATGTAATGTGTATGGAATTAAAAGTGATCCTTTGTATAACGTTGAAGAGCGGTTGCATCTGTTTATGCTGTGACTGGAAGCAATCGGTTCAAACTAAATCCTCATTTAAAGCTTGCTTTAAACCACGCTAAGTAATTTAAATGTAAACTTGCCCATACTCAATTAGTAATCTGTAATTAAATGGGTAGCTGAGCATGAAACAGGAACAAACTGGTCTCAGTGGTATAAACTTTAAAGGATTATAAGGTCTGTCAGACCAAAACAACACTGTGTTGTAATTTATACACTTGTTGGGTTTTTTTTTTTTTTTTTAGGTTGTAAGCAACATTTTAATTCCCAAATAATTATTGCACAACATGCTGCTATGTGTCTGTGTGATGTGGCGGAATTTTTCTTCTGGTGGGATGAGTTGGGATTAGGTATTAGCAGATTATTGTGAGGACAAAAAGCAGGTGCTGTGTCAGTCTTTGTGTTTTTTTTTTTTGTGTTTTTTTTTTTTCATTTTAATCCATTTTAATCAGGTTCTGCTTTCTGGCATGCTCTCATTTGGGATTAGGTTTATTGTCTGTGATGTGATTTATGAACATGTGAAATACAGAGTACATGATATGTTTCAAGGGTCAAAGGTCAGCACATGACCTAACCTTGGTCATCCAAGTTCAGTGTTGATTTAGGAAATCAATACAGTTTAAGGAAATGATTCAGACCTTTCAACAGTAGTGACGGGCCCAGAGAGGCAGGTGGGGCTCTGCCTCACCTAAAAAAAATATTTCACCCCACAAAGTAGTTCCTCCAAATAAATTATTTAAATGGTTATTTATTATTAAATTATTTTTTACTGAACTTGCTGTATATTGTTTGTTCTGTGTATTTTTCCAACTATTTTGAACATTTTAAGTGATTTATAAAAATAAAATTATTAAAATGATTTTTGTGATTTCATCCTCAGTTTTTTTTACTTACTTACCATTATGGCACAGTACCATTCAACGACCTGCAATTTTCAAGCGGATCCACATGTGTGGCTAGTGATCCGAACAGGCACGTCCAATAGTTTTATTGGGGTGCTGATTTTCTGCCCTGTGGACTTTGACTGGTTTTAGAGAACTGGATATGATCTCTACCTGGACCTGACATGAGCTCAAATCCAGAAACAGCTGCAGGGAAACCTGCTGAGTCCAACAGTGGAGATATGCTGTTTTTAAATCCATTTGGAGCAGACAGATGGAACCAGAACAGAAAACTGAGAAGAACAGAGGAAAGTCAAGAGCTGGAATTTTCCACCAACATGGTGGGACCTTATTGAAACAATTGTGGTGGGTCATTGTTTGAAGCAGTGCTCTTTTGTAGCTGGGTGTTTGTGGGTTTCATCCTTACTTGAATCTTCTATTTGATGTGGTGATGATATATTTTATCATCAGTTTTCACTTTTATATTATTTTTGAGTTACTTCACTGAATTATTTTTCTCCCATTTAACTGTATTAACCTGGAGTGTTATTTCAGAGTTATTACTTCAAATCAAATTAGAAATCTAATTCAGAAAGCTGTGCGCTTCAAATGAGGGTGGGAGGCCTCACTGATTTATTAGACCAGACTGTTTTTCATGAGACAAAACCAAAACCAACAGAAGGGGGGGAAGGCAAAAACTTTGTAGATAGACAAAAAACAACAATAATAAATATTAAGCAACATATATCAGTTTTTTTAACAGAAAAATGTATTTAAAAAAAAAAGTTTAATATTTCTGGATATTTATGTCCACCCCACTAATATTTTTGCTCAGCTGCCACTGCCTTTCAAAATGGGTTTAGTAAAAAAAAAAAAAAAAATGAACAATTAATATCATAATTGGTGTAAATATCTTTTTGAACACCTTCATATTAAAAATAAAAAAACGGAGTTTAAATCTGACCGGATGGACAAGCTAAGAGCTAGTCTAAGCTAAGAAAAGACCAAATAAGATTGCTGCTGTCCCAAAGGAACTTTAAGAACAACAACAAAAAAAGAATTCTGAAAACACAACGAAAAATATTTATATCAAAGTATTTTGTTATTGTGCAGTTATTTTCATAGTTATTTAGCATCTAGCTAGATATCAGCTAGCCCCAGTTCAGCTTCCGGCATGAATATCACAGTCTTACTGCCAGAATAACTGTGTATTATTAATTACTGGGAAACTGAAAAGGTTCATAAAATAGCATTTAAATCAGAGGGACTTTTTTCAACAGGGATTAATTTAAGACAACAACTATCCACTTCAGTCTGCTGGGTTTAGCTGTTTGTTTGTCAATGTGATCAGATTTAAACTCTAATTTTCCAAATGGAGGTCATTCAAACAGCTATCAGCAACAACTAAAATCTTCTTTCTTCTTCTTTCGGCTGCTCACTTCTTCAGGGGTCACCATAGCAACTAAGTCACATGAAGATTTGGCAGTTATACACCGGATGTCCTTCCTGATGCAACCACAAACCACCGAGCTACCGCAGCCTTCTTGTGTGGAGCAGAGAGCAGCTCTAGGGTGCCCGGGGGAGCAGATGGTGGAGGTTAAAAGCCTTGCTCAATGGCCCAGAGTGGGGAAAATGAGGGTGGAGGCAGGTGTGGGTGTTTCACTTTTCCCACCCACATTTTGATGTTGTCAGTACCGGGAGTTGAACCGGCAATCTTCCGATCACAGGCTCTCTAACCTCTGCACCACCACTCTCTCCCACATCAGCAACAACTAAAACATTTGTTTTAAAAAACCAGGACTATCCCATGTAAGAGTTGACTGACATTACCGTCCTGATTTTATTTTGTAATGTCACCGTGGTTCGAAACCGGCTCTTTTAAATCCCAGGTGGAGAGAAGACTCGCACCAACATGATTAACGGCTGATAAGAATAAAATTTTACCCTTTAATTTCTACTAAGGCAGGAAAAATGTACAAGTTTACAGCGCTGTGACTTCATCTGACCCACCGCGACCATGAACCGGAAACAAAGTCCGGACGAGCTCCCGAAGAAACTCGGCTTTCTCCGACTCTAGACTCCACCCTTAACCTGGGGTGGAGTGCAACCTCAATGGATCAGTACTGAATGTGTAGACCTGTATAGGTCATAAGTGGGTTAAACTGTGGGCAGCACGGTGGCGCAACTGGTAGAGCTGCTGCCTCTCAGCGAGCAGGTCCCTGGTTCAAACCCCGGTCCAGGGGCCTTTCTGGGTGGAGTTTGCATGTTCTCTCCGTGCATGCGTGGGTTTTCTCCGGGTGCTCTGGTTTCCTCCCACAGTCCAAAAACATGCATGTTAGGCTGATTGGTAACTCTAAATTGTCCCTAGGTGTGAGTGAGAGAGTGAATGGTTGTTTGTCTCGTTTGTCTCTATGTGGCCCTGTGATGGACTTGCGACCCGTCCAGGGTGTCCCCCGCCCCTCGCACAGTGATTGCTGGACATGGGCACCAGCGACCCCTGTGACCCAAAATGGAATAAACGGGTAAAGATAATGGATGGATGGATGGATGGATGGATGGATGGATGGATGGATGGATGGATGGATGGATGGATGGATGGGTTAAACTGTATACATATAAGGAGTTGTTTCCGGGACCGCTCATCTTTGAG